CAAACCCATATTTTTCAAGGGTCAACTGTAACTCTTTTCAAAATTGATCATTACAAAGAAATGATAAAATAAAAGATAAAGGAGGGAGAAATCTCATGACAAAAAAGGCATTTGGGCTGGAAGCTACAAACTCTCACCATCATTATTAGATTTTTAGGCTCAATTATATTCACATCTGTGCTTTACAGAGTTGGATGGCAACAAGTTATATGATATTTGCCCTTAAAGATCTTATAATGTAAATGGCAAGAAACAGTGCAAAAACTGTGGTCTTACTGTTTATATTTCTTTATTTATGTTAGTAAATGACCTGTAGTAGGCATTCTGACACCTGGAAACATTCCAACTGGAGAAACAATGCTGCAACAGCCTATTTTAATCCTATTATGCAAACCTTGGGATATGTCTTTTTCTTTCAACCTTATGGCCTTTGTCTTATTTTTCCTTCAGAGGGATGGAGGACTCTGGTGATGAATCTAGTGCTCAATAACAAAACATATACTCAGTGATGTCCTTCTGCCTTGTATTTTCCTTATTTATCAACAGTCTTACTTCTTTTGCTATAATCCTCTTGAGGACATTTTTGGCATCTTGTATAATGCCTTGTATTAGTAGCTTAACTATAATTTGATGAATGAATGAGTAATAATAGAGAATAGAAAAACTGAAAAATAATGTACAAAATATGTACTAATAATTTGATATCGATAGCAAAGGAAATTGCTCAAAGAACCCAGTGATAAAGCGAAGGTTCACTCTTGCAAATTTAAGTCCTGGACTATTCATACCAAGAGGATCTCCCAAGAATGAATCAGAAATATAATCAGATGATGGGTCATGGATGACAGTTGTTGACGAGTCACGGACGTTTTGAGTTTTGAAAAAGCAATTATCCACTTGAGAACTCAATAAAAACAATTGAGATCCAAGCTGCCAAGGTCATGTAGATTAGCAAACTACTAGTAGGTGGGAATCCTTTGTTTCTGTGAATGTGTGATACAAATCCTGACCACTGCGCACCTGTGTTTAAATTGTCCCTCTCTAAAACATCTAAAATATATTATCAAACTGTGATGTTCCCTAGTAATCACTGTTTTAAAACTACTATTTTTTTTTTTCAAAGAAAATTTTGGAAACAGAATCCTAAAATAAGAAATTACTTAGGTATATTCTCTCAAGGGAGACTGGAAAAGGAAATAGGAAGTAGAACTTATATAACTAATTAATTCTTTTCATGTTGAGACATGTCCAGAAGCAGAGATCTAAAGAGCTAAACACTTTCCTACCAGCTTCAAAAGGTGCTTTAACTAGGCCATAAGGACAGATATGGAAGTAGGTACTATATCCACCATATTTATTATTTAGTTTTGGCTTAATATTTGTCCATAGTAGAGTCTGAGAAAAATAAGGACCAAGCACTTTTCAATTAAATGACTCTATCAAAATCTGATTAGGAGCTTGCCATTCACTAAAGAAAAAGTATGGTACAGACTCAGGACTAAAAAAGTAGCAGTCTAGAAACAAGGCTGTGGCTTTAAGCTGAGGTGCTTTGCAATTCTATGTGAGGTCCATGCAAATCTTATGAGTTGATGATTACTTGTGAAGAGGGGTGAAGTGAATTGTGTGGGGGAAGGTAGGATAGAACTAGCTGGAGGACTTTTAATGGGGTCTAAATATTTTGGCTCAAAAATTGTCATAATAAACTAAGCAAAACCATCACTTGGCTAACTTGTTTTTAGAGGTACAGAAATCCTATTATTTTACCATGGTGTGTTGGGGTCCCCAAGACCACACTCATTTTCAGCGATTCACTAGAAGGACTCACAGAACTCTGAAAAGCTATTATACTCATGGTTTTGCTTTATTAAGTGTAAGGATACAGACTGAAATCAGCAGAGAAAAAGGTGCATAGAGAAGAGGCCAGGAGAGAGCAAGTGCAAACTTCCAGTTACCCTCTCCTCATAGAGTAGTACAGACAGTGTGTAATTCTCCCAGCAGCAATGTGTGATTACACATATGACATATTGCCAACCAGGGAAATTCACCCAAGTCTTGGTGTCCAGAGTTTTCACTGGGGGTCAGTCATGTGGATATGGAGCACTCTTATAATTTACCTTAACTATTCAGTCTCCAAAACCCCCAGGGGTCAAACTGATACAATGTGGCCAGAGCCTCGGATAAACAAAACCAGGCATTCACCATAAATCACATTGTTTGCATAAAATATCTGGTGTGACCCCTGACCCCAGGTGTAAAAAGACACTCTTATCAGGCAGGATATTCCAAGGGCTTATAGGTTACCTCCCAAGAGCTGGTCAAGGGACAGTCTTTCAATTTGGATTTTGCAAGGTTTGAGCAGTTCAAACCTGCTGAATTAGTCCTTTATGGCACCAGATGGTAATGAAAGATTTCCTTGATCCAGTGTTTTGCATTTCATAGACATTTTACCTGCTACTATCAACTTAAGTATCCCAAGTATACTTCTGTTGATTTATCTCCTGCTGAATAATCTTTATTGACTTATCAGTTCCGAAGGAAAATGGTCCAAATCTCTTAAAGTTAGCCTTAAAGGTTCACTATGTGAGGTCAGGGACCCTGGAAGCCAAGTACCAAAAAGTTCCTAGCATATAGGAAATATTTAATATATGTTTTGAAAGAATAAATAACATTCTACTCTTTGGATTATTTCTTGTTCCCAGTATCTTTGCTAACATGACTCTCTCATTCTATCTTCTGCAACAGATTGAATTTTTTAACCATGTTTCAAGGTTTTGGTCAAATTCCACTCCTGTCATAAAGCCTTCTTAAGCCTTCGTAGCAGGCATTACTCCCTTCTCCTCGGGTTTTCCCTAATTTAATTTATTTCTGAGATGCACTTGTCATGGTCCACCTTACATTATAGTTGATTATGAATGTACCTTTTTACCCAACTCTAGATGTTGGTTTTTAAATACAGAGACCTTGAGCCACCATTCTTTATAGTTCCTAGAATTTCTACCATAATGTGTTGCTTTAATCCATTAGATAAAATTGAATATTGCAATTATTTAATCATAATTTTTTTTCAAGCTCATATTGCCAAGCTAAAATGGGGCTAAGGAAAATGTAACTACTGTCCAAAAATGTCTTGTTGTTGAACAGTCTGAATCGCTGAAAGGTGGTATTACAAGCTTTCAAATTAGAGTAAATGAAAGGTAGATTAGACCAAAAACATAAGAACACGGTGTACAAAACAGCTGTACTGTGTCCTCAGTGGGATCATCTAAGTTATAAATATATATCATCTTTCCTGCCAGTGTACTCTTCTGAAGATGCTGTCAACTTCAGGGCTTTGGGGATTTATTTGTCACCGTAAGTCTGAAATTAGTTTGATTAGTTTTGCTGACATCTAGTATCTCAAAATATCTAAAATCTACCTTAGAAATCAGAACTGGCAAGAATTTCAGTGGCAATAATTGAATTTGTGTCCATATCAGGATGCTAAAGTTTGACACGTGAAACAGGTCTAGAGACAGCCCTTTGTTTAGGCTCCAGCAATGCAGGGGTGGTTGAGGTTGTAACTGGGTCATAGAAATTAAGAGTCAAAAAGTTAGTTGCAAATAAATTATTCCCTCAGTACAAGGAGAACCTCTCTATTTGCTTATTCTTATATATGTATCTCCTTTTTCATGCTATTCTTGCCCTTTTTATTTTTCCTACTATGTTATATGATTTTGTCAGCCCTATCTTCTGCCCAACCTTGGTTTATTGTAAAATATTTTTTATTAAACATCTACTATGTGCATAACGTTTTACTATTCACGAAAAACACAACCACAAGAAATACATTTAAACGTAATGCCATTTTGTTAAGCGGGCAGTCAGTGGTCCGCCAGGAGCCCTGCCATTTCCTGGTACACTAACGTGGGATAGGGTTTCTACCTCTCAATAGATTATGGTGTGTGGCTGGAGAGAACGAGCTCGGAAGAAATAACTATGCTTTTTCTGTGGTTATAATAGAGCGGTGAATAAAGGGCTATGAAAACAGTTGTGTGAGAATTTAGTTCTCTAAGGAAAGGGAAGTTTCAGAATTGAAGTAATAAGAAAATTCAAAGAAGAAGAAAAATGTGGAGCAAATGCAAGTATAGGGGATATGGAGAGTCTTTCCTGGAAAGCAAGAAACCCTCAATTAGAAGTTATTAGTCAGGTTTAATGACTCTTTAAATTGAAAGATTACACCCTTCCCAGTTTTTCATCATGTAGTTTATATAGCTTTCCCTAGGCTGAGTCCACATTATAGGCCCACCTATAAACAAATAATTGCTCAGTATACCGGGACTAGGATTAAGAAAACCAATCTGGAGAGCAGTCGCCAAATGAGACTGTGTTTCCCCATAATGTCACTGTATGATTAACTGGCTATACCACTGTATTAAAGGAAAGACTTTAAGGAAAATTAAGCAGGGAAAACTTTCCTCCTTTTCCAGTTAGTCTCACCAGGGTTTTTCCCAGTTTCTCTACCTGTCAGGTTCTTATGTTTCCTTAAATGTATGCACTTTTAATATATAACGTGAAGTGTTTTACCATCTGTATGATATCAATGTCCTATTATACATCCATGTTCTAGTTTAATGCCTTTGATTTTGTCAAATATCATGTGTTCTAAAGACAAAGTAATTCAACAAATGGACACTAGTGAACCAAACTGATTTTAGTCAGTTTAACTTTTTGCTGTATTTATCACATATAACATTTACTCCACACTCTTGATGTACAGGAAGATCAAAATTGTAACTTTTACGACAGTAAATGAGTGTCCAATATTCTTCTCCATCAGTGGAATTAGAAAGGATATACCTTACTAAGGAATTTTCAAGCAGATTTTAAAAAATACCATCACACTTTAAATGTGTTTGAGAGGTAAAATGAAGAATGTACAGTTTATTGTTTCCTTAAACAGAAATAGAGACAATTCTTAATTGTGAAGGGCACCTGTTTCTAATGCACGTTTCTATTCATAGGAAAACGTTGAAGGAGCAGACTGCAGGCGCTGCAAACCTGGCTTCTTCAATTTGCAGGAGCGCAATGCCAAAGGATGTGACGAGTGTTTCTGTTCGGGGGTTTCCACCAGATGTCAAAGTTCCTACTGGCCCTATGGCAGCGTAAGCAGCAGCCTTTTCATTCCCTACGCCGTCCCATGGGCCTTCTTGCTATGGTTCTTTTGTAAGAAATCTGATTTTTTTCCTGTACAGTGAGCTTCTACTTAAAGCTATCATACAGAAGTGGTGGAATTTTCCTTCAAATGCCATTGGTGTACTTTGATCAAAGTCTGTAAGGTTTGATTTGTAATAGTGTTGTAGATGGGAACTCCTTGGAATATGTAAACACTAGTCTTTTAAGTGTCCATGATTAATATGGAAGCAATAATGAAATTAATGTTGTTCTAGCCCCAAGGGAAGGTGGCTCAAGAGAGAAAGCATCAGATGGTGATATGAAGAATTAAGTTATTCACGCACCAACATTTTTGATATACAAGTTACATATTGCTTTATTACTTCTCTATATAACACATATTACCCACCAGCCTTCCGTTACTATTTGATGTGGCACAGGTCCTTTCATTGTTGAAGGGGGTCACCGAATTTGAACACCTTTGTTCTAAGTTGACTTAAAAATTTTCTAACTGCATCTTTCATAGCCACTGGAATTTTCTTCTTCTAACATAAACATAAATACGTTTGCCTTCCTTCCTCCAGTGCCCACCATGGTCCCCATTGCCTTCTCAACTCTTAAAGAGAGTTGTCTCTTTATAGAAGAGAGATTTGTCTCCTTATAGAAGAGATATGAAAGGAAACTGGGACCTTCAGGGATTTCAAATAGCCTGAGTAGCTGCTTTTAAGGTACAGACTATCAGGAAATAAGCTAGAGAAAGAGAAGCGAAGAGGGGGAATGAGAAACTATGCCAGTAAGATGGGGTTGAGCATGCCAAGCAGTTGGATTTTTATGTTTAGAGTCATTGAAGGGTTTTAGCAGAAGAGTGATCACTCTTTTACAGAGATCACTGTTTCAATAAACTATCTTCGTTTCTTTCAACTTTAATCAGCTTACTAATCCTTAATACAACCGTTGTAGATTTTTCTCTGCCTGTATTGCTTTTAAATCAAGTCTGAAATATTATGAGTAGTTTCTGATCAGTGTCTCATGTCTAAAATTGAACCTATACTTTATCAAATGCGTTGCTTTGGGAGCAGAATGTATAGAAGCAACAGCAAATGGAAATCTAGCCTAACTTCCTCCTTTTGTTTATAGTGCCCCCCCCCCCCATAGCCTCATTAATATATTGAAGTATTCTGATTAGCAGAGGAGCACTCAGCCTTGGTCTTCAGAAACCAGGTCCACTGATATTTGTTTGCATTTCGGTAAATCTTCTGAGAAGAACTTCTTCCGAATCTTACTGAGTTGTCTTAGAATGTCTGGAGGGTGTTGGAAAGGGAAGAAAATAAAGTAATATATGTCTTATTGTCTAGCTAGCCAGTAAGTTTTTACCTGGTCTCTCTTTCTCTTTTGACCAGGGCAGTCCCAGCAATTTCACAGCTCTGGGAGATACAGAATCACATGACTTCTATGTAAAGAAAATTTAAAAATATATATTTCATCCACATATAATCATCGTTCCCATTCTTACCCTTATCACCCACAATACTAAGCAGCTCACACTGGTCTATCCAGCACCTTGCAGCTGTAAACCTCAGTGCCCAGTGTTTTGTCCTGACCTGACAGTTTAAATTACAGTTGTACCTGTGTGCCCACCCCTGGCTGGAGTATAACTCTGGAAAAGCAAATCAGTATGACTTCCTTAGGTCCTCCTTTAAGGCTTTTTTCTTTTCTGGGCCAAGGATCTAAGCCATAGATTCCTGTAGCATTTCTGACACCATGGGAATGTGTAGCAACAGTATTCTGAGCTGTGGCCTTGGCAACAGGGTAGGCTGGTGGATTAAAATATTTTTAAGTCTCAAAGTTGACATTTAAATAAATAGGAAGGGAGGAAATACTGAATGAAAAACCATCTTTCAGGCACTTGCATATTTTATTTATTTTCTTCCTGTGCTTCACAAATATATAGGCAATACCTTTTAAAAAATTTATTCCATAAACAATAGGAAATTAAAAGCGGAGTGAAAAATATGAAATTCAAAGTCAGATTATTTGATATTAACATTATAACCATTGTATAATTTTGAATGAATTTCTGTTTTTAAGAAAGGTATTTGGAATCATGATTTTTTTTAAAAGCATTGAATCAATGAAAACATTATTATAGGGTATCATCCAAACTCCTAGAAACTAAAGAAAAAATAGGAACCTATAATGAGTACATACGATAAGTTTAGTGACACAACTCTCATATTTTTGTCAACTTGTATACTTTCTGTTTTTTTAATTTCTAAATAAATGGACACTATAGGAATTTGAAAGAGAAAAGAAGTGGATGGATTTTGTTTTTCCTAAGTAATGATGATTGTGTGTTTTTGTTTAAGATACAAGACATGAGTGGCTGGTCCCTGACTGACATCTCAGGCCACACTCGAGTGGCTCCCCAGCAGGACTTACAGCCACCCCAGCATATCAGCATCAGCAGCTCGGAGGCCCGCCGCGCCCTGCCCCAGGACTACTACTGGAGCGCACCAGCTCCGTATCTGGGAAACAAAGTGAGTCCATATGCTGCTTGCTTCTTGCTACTTTGCTTTAATAGATCAATAAAGGAATGGGTTTTATCTAGTATTCGTTTAAAGAAGGTTAAGAATATCAAACATATACTCTATTAGATTGCCAGAGACAATGAAATCAGATGGAATTTGACATTTTTCCCATGTCCCATGGGCCACGGCATCCCCAGTTCACAACTTCACATAGTTGCTGTCCTGTGTAAATTTTTGAATCAACAAGTAAATTAATGAGGGCTCTAGAATATTTTTGCAAAGCAAATTACAGATATTGGAAGAAACCATGTTGTGTTTACTGGAAATAGCTGTTTTTCCAGAGTTGTCTATGGTGGGATACTTAACTGAAATTTTCCTCATCTGTTTCTATTTCATTTCAAAACTGGTATTCAAGAAAACTACTTTTTCTACCTTGTATGAATGTTAATTGGAAATGAAATTTATCACGTAACTAATGTATGCTTGTCATGAAGCTTGTGTAAACGGCGTATTTCCTGGAGCTCAGATAAAGCACTACTCTATAAGAAATGCCAGACTGAAAGCACATGTTTGTTTTAAAGCTCACAAATAGAAACATAGATAAACAAACGTAGTAGCCTCAGGAGTATAGGCACTTTTCCCCCCCCAGTTGTGGATTAAGTCTATTTAGACAGGTGCATTGACTTTTATCATTTTATTTTGCGTAGCAATGTTGGAAACAAATTTTGGTGTAGTGACTCTAAATGTGAATACTTGCTTGTTCTGTGAAAGTCAATACCTTGTCACCTGATAGTCAAATTAACCTGATCAGACACAGAAGAACCTCTTAGCAAACTGAAGCTTCTTAAGCCTAGCTTTTACCTATAAGAATATAGTGTTACTCTTGAAGAAATCTTTGCTGGTTAAACAAGTAAAAATATATTTATAGTTAGTGGTTCTCTAGCCATGGCATGTAACTATTGAGAAAGAAAAATTTAATAGTAGTTCATATGTTACTTTGTGAATGGGAAACTGGTAGTTTTAGCAAATTGAAGAAATTTTAACTCATGGCTAGTTTTTTTAATTTTTAGTAGGCTTCAAAATACCATTATGAAAAAATGTGTAAATGAATAAAACATTTTCAATTAATATATTTTAAAAGAGACATTATATGTTGCATAAAATTCTAGAGCTGCAATAAAAATCTAATTAAACATTTATTTGCAAGGCCCATTACAATAAGAAGTCATTCTATCCTATTCTATTTAGGAACCTCCTTATATTCCCAATAAGAATAAAATAGCACATAAGATTTGAATGTCTACAGCTTAAATTTGCCCAAAAAACCCCACCCAAAACTGTCAAGTTTTTTTTCCCTGCTCTGAGGAGTTTAGAAAAAAGCCTTGGGTCAAAATTAGATGAGTTTCAGAGGTCTGGTTTTTCTTACTATAGTAAAATTTATTTAAGGATAGTTTATAGTAGAATATTCTTTACCATATTTTTGATCATTTCTTCTTTCGTCATATGCTTTTTTCTTTCTGTTGGCTGAAAATCAAGCTGACAGAAGGAAAGCAAGCAAATGGGATATTAAATAGCATCAGAGTAAAGAATGTGGACATCCTGTTTGTAAGTTGTTGGTTCCCAAAGATAACTTTCCTTATCCTGACTGAACTGTTTCTTCTAACCACCCACAATGAAGCACTTCATGTTCTCCACAGATCATTTTCACATCAAAAAGCTGTGCTTGCCTCTGCTTCAATTTCCATTCAGTGAACAAAATAATGGTAACAGGGTGTGCAAATTATTTGAATATGGAAGATATTTTTTAATGTAATGTGGAAGCCATCAGTGGTTTACTGTCAGATATCTCAGTATGAATGAAACAATTTGCCTTAATAACTGAACCATATAAATTTTTGATACTACCAATAATACTGCAGCTCCCACAAATTACCACAGTACATCTTAACTGTCATGTCGTATCATGTAAATTATAGTCACGATGACATGCTTAGCTTGGTTGATTTAATATCTTGCTAAGGAAATGGAAAATTGTAGGGACTTGTTTATAAATTCAATAAAGCCACTTTTCTAAATAGTTGAGGCTAAATTCTTTACCAGTAATTGCTGTTCGAATCAGAGCCATTGCCAGAATCTCACAGAAATAGTCTACCAAGAAACTAGTGCATCTGCTTAGATACTGAGTTTCATTTACATCCATGACCGGGAGGCTATGGGTACATAATTCCTCCTCCACTTTTTTGGTGTTAATTTCTAAGTCAAAAAAATATTTAAGAGATGCTATTAGCATCTCCTAAATATAGAAATTTATATAACTAATTTTCAAATGTTTTCCAAGTCAGTCTCTTGGTCATATAGCTACTTACAACATGTGCTGTGCTGTGCATATTCTACTGTAATGAAGATGTCACATGCTAGTCTTCCATTCTTTTAAGAACCTAACCCCAAATAATCCCTCACTGACATGGGAAACACTTTGCTAGCACAGAGGTCCATCTGATTATAGTAAAACTCAAGAATAGTAGGCAGTTTACCAAAGGAATATTTTTTGTCCTAAGAAACATTCGTATTGACTCTTTGGAGTAATGAGAAATACGTAAGTGAATCCGTGTGTATGTGTATGTGGATAGTAGGTGAGGCCTAGAAAAACTCAGCACAGTTTTATACTACCCATTTAAAAACTTTACCTGATCTTAACTATGAGTTAATTCCCCAATGACAATCTTGAAAAAAAATGGGCGTGTTTTATTCCTCATGTGTGAGTGAATATTTAGCACCGTTGGCATAATCAAGTGTTCATTTCTTCCCTCGTTCTAGATAGTCAAGGCAATTGAAGTCAGGCACCCATGGGACTGTACTAGGCAGCACTTCATTTTCCAAATGCCTGACAAATGTTAATGCTTGGTTTTCGGGCCTTTGTTTAAGCATGGAACGAGGCAGGGGTAGAAGCAGCTGCAGGACAGAGTCCTGCTGGTTTGCTACAGGCTTCAGCTATTCAGAAGCAGTTTGGGTATTTCAGAGGTGGAATAATTTACTGCGTTAGTAAACTAAGTGCAATTGGAACATTGAAATAATCATTTACTTAAGGTGGCCCTAGTGGCCTGAAGTAGTGCAGCTTCCAAAAGCAATTCTCAGCTCTTCTATAAAGTTCCCAGAGAACCTGGCTTGGCCTGTCGTCTGCTGTTCCTGCGTTACCATTAAGGTTTGAAATGATGTCTCGGAGCATTATTAAATTAATCTGTTGTGACTTGTTCTTTACAAAACAATGCTTATTTCCTACAACATTATGTTGTCTTTTTCTCTTTCCTATTTAAATAAGCTTTTAAATTGTTTCATGTGGCTGCCAAGTGTACCTATAGCCTAGCTTAAAATGCACATTATGAGTCTGCTGACAAAATAGCATCTGGCTTCTGAAAGAAATCTTTGGTACTTTTGTGTCGTGCTTGCTTGACTTTCAATTCTGCCTCTCAGATCCTAAATTAAAGCTGTAGATTTGAAGGAGATTGGCGTTTGAGGTTTACAGGACAAGGTAGTTTTTGTCACATAAAAGAAGCTTAAAAGATACTTTGTGATTAATGCTACTTACTTAACAGCAACAACAAAAATGGTTTTATAAGGTTGCTCAAATGACTCGAGTTGGGGTTTATGTGAAAGTTGGAAGATGATTTCAGTAATGCTTAAAAAAAATAAAAAACAGTAACAGGCGTGATCCACTCTCCCTTTAGCAGCACAACTTGTATTTGTGATTTCTTTGTTCCACCCTCTCCCTCATCCTTAACTTCCTCCAATTTAAGCCTTGGGTTAATTAAGAAGGTAGCATGTATGTGGAGAATGGCATGGCCATAAAAGTAAATAGAATAAATAAACTGTAAATGAATTTTTATTCCATGAATCAAATCTCATCAAGAATGGTTGTTGTGATGGAGTAGTACCAAGAAAAATATTTGTTGCATAGAATAAACCAAATGAATTATTAGGGGTAAATGAGAAAATATATTTATTAAAAACAAAGGAAAGCCAAGAACTCATTTATTGCTCATAGTTATGAACTGTATTCCAGAGCAAAGTCCGTTACTACTTAATTAATTACAACAAAATCCAGCACCCAAATATGTAAAATTCATCATGCTGGGCATCAAATAAAAAAATTACCAGGCATGTAAACAAGCAGGGGCATAAGAACCATAACCAGGAGAAAAATCAGTCAATTAAAACAAATAAGAAAATCATGCCAAGGTATATCAGAATCAAGTTTTGAAAGAAAGAAAGAAAGAAGAAAAAAGGAAGCAGTAGTAGAGATAAAGAGAAAATCCTAAAAGCACCAGAGAAAAAAGGGATGTAACATGTACAGAAGAACAAAGAAGATTCTTGTCAAACATGCTACAAGCCCGAATACAGTACAGGGATATTTTAAAGTACTGGGAGAAAAGAAAAACACCAACAAACAAACAGAAACAATCAGTCTTGAATTCTTTACCAAGCCAAAATATCTTTGAAAAATGAAGGCAAAACAAAGAGTTTTTATTTTAGAGAAATAAGAACTGAGATACCTTTTCATCAACACATCTACACAGTAATAAATGTAGAAAGTTCTTTGGGTTAAAGGAATAAGATACCAATAGAAATTGGTTCCTACCCAAAAAAAGAAAGAAAAAGCTAAATAATAATGCTGAATAATAAATAATAAAGCTAAATAATAATGCTTTCTCCACTGACTGCCACCTAAACACGGGACCAGTGACTACTCATGTCTTTAGGCCTAGGACTTAATACAGTAGTTATTGAATTAATATCAAACCACCCAAACGTAAAATAGTATATCAGGTACTTTTGTGTCAAATTTCCTTTGAAATTGTAAAAGGGAAGACTATGTCATAACAAGAGAATTTAAAAAAAAACCAAACACCTTTCTACAACCTTTGTTCCTTACCTTAAAACTAAAGAAAGCAAAACCAGCACCAAGTTAAAAGTTTCAAACAAATCTTAATATAAAACTACTTTTTTTTCTA